CCACACATTTTATTACAAATTTGATGTTATGTTGCTAGTGTGAATCTTTACCATAAAGTACATGCATAAAGTACATGTAGCTTAATTACCAAATGGATACAAATGATTTTAATGATTTTGTAAAAAAATTAAATTCACTAGTAAATTTTCTGTCTCTGTCTCTCTCTCTCCGTCCATCTCTCTTTCACTCCATTCATCCCTCTCCCTCCCTCCTTCTCTCTCTCCCTTCCTCCATCCCTTCGTCCCTCCCTCCGTCCCTCCTTCTCTCCCTCCCTCTTTCTCTCCGTCCATCCCTCTCTCCCTTCCTCCATCTTTCCCTCTGTGACTCTGTCCCTCTCTCCATCCCTCCCTCTCTCCCTCCCTCTCTCTTTCCCTCCCTCCCTCTCTCCCTCCCTCTCCCCCTCCCTCCACCCTCTCTCCCTTCCTCTCTCTCTCCCTCTCTCCCTCCCTCCTTCTCTCCCCCTTCCGTCCCTCTCTCCCTCACTCCCTCTCTAACTCCTTCCCTCTCTCCCTCCCTCCCTTCATCCCTCTCTCTCTCCCTCCATCCCTCTCTCCCTCCCTCTCTCTCCCTCCCTTTGTCCATTCATCCCTCCCTCTCTCCCTCCCTCCCTCCCTCTCTCTCTCCCTCAGTTCCTCTCTCCCTCCCTCTCTTTCTCCCTTTCTCCCTCCATCCATCCCTCCCTCTCTCCCTTCCTCCCTCTTTCCCTCCCCCTCTCTCCCTCTCTCCCTCCCTTTTTGATAGTAATTTTGATAGTAATTTTTGAAACTTTGAAAATTAAAAAAATATTTTGAGATTCTCAAAAATTTTGAATAAAGCATGGAAAGGAATTTTTGAAAATTTAAAAAAAATTGAAATGAAACATTACAAATTTAAAAAATTAAAATTTGCTTTGTGTAGCGGTTTTCAAAATTTAAAGTTTCGGAACAATTACATTTCTACTTGGTAATGCTTGATAATGTTACGTGTATAATAGTATAATAATGTCAGATAGACTTACAAGAGGCCAGTGGGCATTGACATTTTCTTTGGTATGGAGGACATACTTAGAATGTAGTTATACTGTGCAGGAATATATAATGTGATCCACCCACTCAAATTGATGTAATTATATCACTTACCTACTGGGGCAGTATCTGATTTACAGACACATCCCACTAAGACACTATGGTCCCTTGTGTTCAGTGTCTGTATTGACATCAACTTAAATAAAAAATTATGTGCATTGATCAAACATCAAAATTTAAGCAACTTGAAATTTTGTGGCTATAACCAAGAACATTTTATTGATACTGCAACAGTGTAAATATACATACATGTAGACTAGTAGTATTGTACATGTAATTATTTATATCAGTAAAATGTATACTTGTACATTAAATGTACCTCCACTGTCTCTAACATACTCAATACTATGGAGTATTGAAGACAGACCAACAATTAAAGTTGGTTTTTAGTTTGATTGTGATAACATTGTACTATCATGTTAATCAGTGTTTACCTTGTATAGGCTGGTAAGACTGCTCTTGATTTTGCTGAACGTAAAGGTCATAGTGATACTGCTACCCTACTGAGAGTACACTCAGGTAATCTATTTAT